TATAAATGGTCAATTACACACCTTACAAAACCGTATCCCTGAATATCCAGTGACTATTTGGTATAACAAAGCTTCTAAATTGCATAGAGGAAAATCAACACATAGTACTTCTACAAACATGAGGTTTTCAAACATTCATCCCCCTTTGTGTTTACAACTCTGTGATTTATAAAAGTGAGACATTTCAGATGTCCAGCCTGTTCTATACGTATAGCAGTAGCCCTCTTAATCTAATGCAGAACACATACACCAATAAAAATGCATGTAAATAAACAAGCAATAAATAAAGCGTTAAATTAACACATCTTATAACATTTAACATTATTGTGTGCACTAACATATGTTAATACTCCAGTGATTTAACTGACACAAGTGATCAATCAATGGTGCATATTCAACCAGGGATCTAATTAATATCTTTGCAGTATTTGTTTTCTATGCCTAAATGAGAACTTTAAGCAAATCGCAATGCATTTTGTTTGTTTTAATATTACTGTCTACTCAAAATAGTGTTGTCCAGAAACCCATTAGCTTCTATTCTTTGAAGGTTCTCTTTTCATTAAAGCTTTTATTGTGTTATAGCCTGCAGAATGACAGTAATCCTCATCTATGCATGTAAAACAATATCTACAATATACTAGGATGACATACTAACATGCACACTGACACTCACAAGCTTTCTTTATGGAAAAATGAGGAGTATGAGTCCACTAGTATGTAGGAACCGGAGTAAAAGCAGAACATGTAACTGAAAAATATACTTAAATTCATTAATTCCTTCGTAGTACAAAAACAAAAAGCAATTAAGCACGTCATAATTATTTTTTCCTAATTACATCTGTTATCACTTTTGCTTGTATAATATATGTTTACAAAATACACCTGCTGTTATTTAAAAAAAATAACAGGGAGCAAATGAATTAGTGTGCATTTTGTTTTCACTTTTTTTTAATAAAAGAGCAAAGCAGAACTTATGAACAATTCAATCTTAGGATTCATTCAAATGTTCTATCTTGGGATGAGCCGCTACACTGATGGTTTCCACACAACAATCTGGCCCCAACTGTGTATTGGTTTGTTTAAAAAAAAGAATAAAATATCTCTTGGCAATGCATTGAGGCTATCTGTGTGAATTTGACCTTGATGAAACCCAAAACACACAGAGGAAATGCTCATGACCGTTTAGAAGAATGTTTTAGCAGATATTGTACCAAAACAAAATATGATTCACCCAATTTCACGTTGGAATTAATTTGACCCCAAAGTCATAAAGTACTATGTCTAAAGATGCTGTCAAATTATTAAGAGATGAGAGGAGCATTGGTTACCAATACCAATATAAGAGAAATAAAAATGTGCTGATGTCAACCTCACAAAAGCGACTCTCAGCCGCATCCCATCAGCTCTTCTCTTACCAAAGCCTTCTGTCATAGAGTGGTCCATTGTTCAGTCTGCGGGGAATGGTGGAGAGGTTGAGAGCGACCCTTAGCAAGCACAGTCTTTGTGGGAGCGCTGCGGCTGCTCATTGAGCTGATGGCCCTGCTTGTGTCCAGTGATGGACGGATCCGCCGACTCCAGGTTCTCAGTCATCCTCTCACAGATTATGTCCACCAGTCGCTCAAATGTCTGCTTCACGTTAATGTTGTCCTTGGCACTGGCCTCAAAAAACATAAAGCCTGTGACAGTCAAAAGTAAAAGGCACTATTATATTCCAATTAAACTAAGGGCTGCAAGAAAACATCCTGCATATGAAGGAAATTCAAGTGGAAAACCCACCTAGCTGTTCAGACAGCTGTCTTCCTCTCTCTGAAGCAACCACTCTGTCGTCTTCCATGTCACACTTATTTCCCACCAGCAGCACTTGAGCA